GCTGCTGCTGGTACTGTGTTTGCATCTGTAACGTCCCTTCTTCCCACGTTGGAAAGGCTGTTGGTAGTAGTAAGGAAAACGATGCATTATCCTGGAGAGGGTGAGGAGAGGAGAGGGACAAGAGTGTCTAATCCGTGCTGCTGGAGTGATTAATTTGACAGTTTATGATGAAGGAAATGACAACTAGAAATCTGGGTAAGCAATGATCTTTCCAAGAGAGTGACTTTCACGGGAGCCGCGCTACAGACTCCCATGCCGACCTCCTGCAAAGCGGTGCGGGAGTTTTCAAAGCAAAGCGGGGGGGGCACTGAGAAGTTTACTCTCTTGCTGATGCGAGAGAGAGAGAGAGGAGACCTCATTGCAGCTTTCCAGTATCGGAAGGTCCTACAAGGGTGCTGGGAGAGGACTTGTTACAAGAGCCTGTAGGGACAGGACAAGGGGTAATGGGTACAAATTGAAATCAGGGAGGCTTAGATTAGATGTCAGGAAGAAATTCTTCCCAGAGGGTGGGGAGGCACTGGCGCAGGTTGCCCAGAGAAGCTGTGGATGCCCCATCCCTGGAAGTGTCCAAGGCCAGGCTGGATGAGGCTTTGAGCAACCTGGTCTAGTGGAAGGTGTCCCTGCCCATGGCAGGGGGGTTGGAACTAGATGATCTTTAAGGTCCCTTCCAACCCAAACCATTCTGTGATTCTATGCCCGGGAACACAGAATTTCCAGCCGTAGCAGGAGAGGGGTTCACTGCGAGGTGCAAACAAGCCATCACCTCTCTTTAAAATGTGAGATGCTTCGAGGATAGGTTTGAGTAGAAGAGCTTAAGAGGCACATCTAACACTGTTCATTAAGCACGGTGAGCTGGAGAAAGGCTTCCCCTGCACACATCATCTCACACATTGCTGTGCAGGCTGAGTGCGTGCAGTGGGAGGAACAAGGCTAACCGTATTTTTGATGAAGGTAAGAGCCTAATATTGCAGCTTTGGAAAGATCAGTTATCCATCTGCCAGACATCTACCTTTGGCTGTGGTACCTCCCTGCCCTCAGTTGTTACAGTGTGTGACCGCTTCACAACCACTAATATATTTATCTTTTCATTTGCCCTGTGGACTTGGGAAGGGCTATTACCTCTGTTGCAGAACTAAGAACTGAGATTAAGGGTCAGATTTGTTATGGCATTTAGGTGCTCAATGGGATTTTCAAAAGTACCTAACCCCCGTTGTAATAAGTGGAACCTGGGCACTTTGATAGTTCTGCAAATCCTGTCACTTGTGTCTTGTCTTCTAAAATTTTGGGCTTACATGACACCCAGGGATCTGTGGGAGAGGTTCCCATGTTGTGGATAGTCACTCAGATGGGACACACTCTCTTGATCCACCTAATAGGAGACTGTAGATGGGACAGAAACAATTTTATGGCAGTGGGAGCTTGTCTCGCTCCTGACTTCAGCAAGCAGTGAATCTGCCCTCCTTGCACAGCTCTGTGGGAGAGGTCAGAATCCAGTCCTGGAAATACTGGAGCAAAAATAAGCATCACCCATGGTCAATAAAAAGGGCTTATGTGCCAATTGCTAGGATGGAAAATTCAAGAGCAGGAGCAAATAATGAAACAATCTATATTCATGCAGCCGCCTTTCCAGCCTTCTGCTGTAAGTACAGGCTTACGCCTAACCAGGAGATGTGAATCCTACTGAAAGCTCCGGAGTATCACACTGGAAAACAAATGTTGATTCTGAACAAATTACCTGTTCATCGCTAAATCATTTTCTTTCATTATTAGTTTCCAAATTGGTTCTGCTCTGGAAGACAGAATTAGGTTTAAAAGCAGAGTGTCTCTTAAACACTTGCTTCAAATCAAAGTATTCGGTAAACATTACTCAACCCCCCTAGAGCATAAACTCCTCAACTGCCTTCTCTGCCTTTACATAGATTTTTCAGCTCCTGGTTTAAAGACAGGTGTCTCTGGGATTCATACAGGATAACAGAAAATAATCAAATTAAATCCCTTACAACCTTATGCCCCTCAAATGCCAAGGTAAATTTTATTAAGACCTTTCTGTCTTCGTTTACAGTAGCATAAATAGGGACAAAAGTCCCGTGAAAGCAGATGGAGTTACACCCTTATCGAATGTGTAGGAGAGAGAGAGGAGCCAGACCCCAAACCCGTGGCACAAGTACAAATCCATGCGGCCTGTAAGCTGAGTTTCTCCTCACTGCAAGGGCTGCACTTTGCTCTTACAGTTCCTGCACTCATTTCCATACTTTTAAGGTTCTAAAATAAAAGAACACCGGGATGCAAAATCATATTTTTAATATTAAAATGATGGGGTTTAGTTAATTCATCATGTCATCAAGTTTGCAGCTGTCTGAGCTAGTGATTTGGGGGGGGGGGTCAGCTCAGCTAACAGTAAAAACCACACGTGGGGCTGCAGGGAGCAGCAGCACAGCCCGGCATTGTGTGCTTCCCCACCTTACACCATGGACTAGCAGGAGGTGCTGGGGGGGGTCATTTCTGTGAGGCAAGAAGCTCTGTAGGGATGGGGATGTGTTAAGTGTGTGGTGTTTCATCAGTGCTGTAAGAGGCTCTTATCCTGCCTGTAGGTTTTCACTGGGTGGAGGAGGGAGAACAACGCGGTCACTTGGTTAGACATGAAAAGAGAATAAAACTGCTTTAAAGTGTTATCTAACAGACTGCCAGGTACTTGGTAGCTTGTTCAAAGCATGAATTCAACTCGGTCTGATGTTTTGGGGACCTGTGTGCACAGGGGAAGATACGCAAGGAGAAGGTCCCTCTTGATCCTTCCCCGCCATGGGAAGACATTCGCTGATTGCCCAGCTCTCTGCACTCCCCAGTAAAGCACTGGTGTGGGACTGGGAGGCTGCTCCGCACAGAGCAGGAACTGAGAGCTGCTGCTGCAAAGGAGTGCATTTGCACTTTGGTGTCTGAACGCTGTTTTGCACTTACTAGACTTTTTTTTCTCGGTGGCAGAAGAGCTACAAGATGAACAATGAACAAATACATTGAGACAGCCAAGACATCAAAGAAATTAAGGAGTCACTAAGATGTTGGAGAGCTGAAGAGTCACCTGGCCATGTTTCTCAGGAATTATTTTATCCCTAAATTAGCTCAGCTGTCTTGGGTTTTGGACACATCCTCTGGTGAATTTAGCTCCAGGGATTTAAGATGCTACTGGCCTCAGCTCTCTGTTTCTCCTCTGCAGGATCCTGCCTCTGGAGCAGAGGCAGCAAGAGGGAATATGTACCTGCAACCCAGCCAGTGCAGCTTATATCCTGGGGGCTTAGTGCAAGCAGAGCATCCTTCATTTTTCAGGGTAGATACCAGCTTGTGAGCTGCACTACCACGGATGAGAGCGTGCAGTATCCCTGGGCAGAAATCTCCTGGGAAAATGTGGGGCAGACAGTGCGTTAAGCCGTCATAATGAAAGCCACCAGAGTGCATGTGCCAGAGCCTTAAGGCTGTGTGCTGTGGCTATTTTTACCATAAAGAAATTCTAACACATATTGGAAAGGCAGTTATTGCAATTGGAAGGTCAGAGGGAATCATATCCCAGGTAGAACTATTTAATGTCAATCATTCTCTGCAAGCCTTTTCTCCTCCATGCAATCTGCAATTCAGTCAGGGAGAAAAAAGTGAGTAGCAGCAGTCTTAACCTTACGTTCCTCGTACAGGAACCAGCCAAGGGGTGATACCAGTGGAGGAATCAGAAGAAAGTTTATGTAAGATGTAGCTTCCCTGCAGAGAGCAAACAAAAAGCAGCTCAGAGGGATTGTGCAGAGGCTGCTGACCATGAGCCCATGCTCGCTCCGTGGGCTGCGTGTGCCTCACTTCTTCCCTGAAATTTAGATTGAGTTGAGTCAGCCAGGAAATTACAGACGAGTGTGGGGTCTTGAGGGAAAGGTGTTTGAATAGCAGCAATATGAGGACACCAACAAGAGGGCAAGTCGTAACTTGAAAAAGTGCCACACAGAGGCAACTGTGCCTTTGCTTTATTGACCTGTTGGCTGCAATAAATACAGCTGAATTCCTTCAGTCTCCCGTAGTGTTGTCTCAGTACCAGCAGGAGTCCATTTAAGAATGCACTTACTTGCAGAAATGATTATATATGAAGAGTAGAGAAACAGCTGAAGTGCCACTGCAGTAATGCAAGCAAATTCTAAAAGCTGCCCAAGCAAGCTTGGGGGTGGTGTGCTGCCCTCGTGCTTCGGTTTTGTCCGTGCTGCCTGCCCAAAGCAGTCGACTCTTCCAGTCCCCCTGCCTGCTTCACCTGGGGAGATCATCGTCTAGATTTAGTGATGGTGCAGTAAATAAAATCAACTAAGAGGGTATTCCCAAAGCAGGAGAATTGGGTTTTATTATCATTTTCAATACAGAAAGGCACTGTAATATAAAGAAGAGACGCGTTTAACACAAGACCTATGAATGGGTAATCAGCAAAGAAGACTGAACCTTGTGCTTCTACATCTTACAGCATTAACCCGAATTGCCTGAACGAAAAGCTTTGGTCATCTTAGCCGGTGCTGTAACAGGACTGTCAGATCCCTGTGTGGTGTACCCACGGGTGGGAGGGCTCAAAGCACTGCACAGCGGGCCTGGCTGTGAGCAGTAGCATCTGAGCATAGGAGCGGAGACCAGGAATTTTGGGGTCTTCAGCCTTTTTTTTGCATTTATTTCCCTATTGCCTAAAACGCTTCCAACCCTCATGTCTTGTGTATGAGCAAGTTCACATAGGGGAGGCTCTAGAACCTTGGATCTTGTCCCAGCCTTTACAGCATAGCAAGGTTGATGTGAAACGTTAGCAGATTGGGTTTGCGATGTGTTTTACCACGCTGTGCTTGAATTCTTTCCACTGACGACACCAGGCGTGGATCTGAATGTCAGCAGGACCTCAGGTGCTGTGCAGCGGGCAGTCCGGCTGTGCAAGACAACAGCCTGAGATGAAGTGTCAGGATTGCACCCAGCACACTCCCTAACTCCCCTTTCTGTTGCAGACTGGAGTCGCCTACTCGCGCGCTGGTGATGGAGGCTCCAAAAGGCATCGAGATCAACGCCGAGGCCGGCAGCTTGAAAGCCACGTGCAGGACAGAGCTCAGGCTGGAATCCAAAGATGGAGAGGTAAGCAAAGGGTGTCAAGCGCCGCAACAAAACCAAGGCAAGCCACAGATCCCCTGCAGATTTGCAGCCTTCTGAGTCACTGAGCCCCTCCGGTTGAAACACTGGTGTGAAGGCACTGGTGAAGCAGACCTTCCCAGCGTAGTTTCTGCTAGCAGTGATTGAACACAACTTTTGCAAACGAGCCTCACTCTGTGGCAAAGGCGGATTCATTATTTTTAAAGTGCTTGGATAATAGCATCTGTTGTTCAAGCAGATTTATGCGGCTGTAAAATACACAGTGCTCCTAAATTCTTTGTTTCCTTGTCACTTTAAAGCAAGATTTACTTGGCCAACATAATTAAATCTTTTATCATACATTTTTCTATAAGAAGAGCTTAATTCACCGTTATTGATCTGAAAAGCTTTTGTAGTGGATGTTTTCATTTTGAAAAGAAAGGGAACATTAGGAAACATGGGTTGTTGCACTGGGGAAACTTCCAAAGAGGAAGAGAGAATAACTAAAACAGGTAACACAGAACAAAAGTAAAATAGATGTTAGTTAAGCCTCTTCTGTGTCTCAAAAATACACGAGCACATGGTTCTCATCCCCTTCTCTGACCACAATGATGGAAGACACCAAAAGATGTGGTTGAGGAGCTCCCTCTGGGGAACCCACTGAGGGCCTTGGCAGGAAGAGCTTCCCGTTGAACACAAATTTCCAGCAATAGGGCTCCAACATAAGCTGAGGTTTTAGTGTCAGGTGTAATAAGTAGAATGGGATTTTGATTGCAATTCCTATTATTTCTAAACTTTTGCATTTTAAGACATTCCAAACCCAGACCACTGGTGTTAACAAAAAACCTCTCAAAAATACTAAAAAACCCCACCCTACCTAATATACTATAATTGAAATCCAAGGCATTTCACTACTGCAAGCATTGCCTTAATGTTTTTAAGACTAGGTTTCTTTTAAAATGCATATATTGACCTGTCTCAGATTAGATGGTTGGATACTAAATCTGGAGACTCTTAATGTAACTGCAAGATAAGAGCAAATGCTGTCAGTTGTCCTGTAATATTCTGGTGTGCAGGTTATCTTACTGTGCTCTTCTCGGTGATGTTAGAGCAGTCCCCTGTAGCTGCCACATGTTCACTTTTATGTTCTGTTTTATAAGGAGAAATCCAGGCCTGTTACAGCACTCAGGTTATTTTTCATGTACGTAAAAGTGTTACACATATACATAAAATATACATGAAAGTCACTGCTGTGAGCCTGCAAGCGTCACTGGCAGTGGGATCACAGTGCCAGAAGTCCTGGTGGAGAAGGGGTGTCATCGTGTGCACATGAAGCGTACACGCTCCCCACCTCAGCAGTGGGGTACCGCGGGTTGGGGTAACCCAGACGCGGGGGTGCCCCAGGAAGCTGCAAGCCATAGAAACACGGTGGGTAGGTCAGCAGAAACAAACCAGAGGTCTTAGGTGGCTCGAGGTAAAGACAGATCACCTGGCTTTGTATCAGACTCTCCCATCTTAATTCACTTGCCTGCCCAGGTTTCGTAGCAGCCAAGATGTCCAAAGGAAGCTTCTTTAAGAAAACCAAGAGCTCTCCACTAATTCTCTCTCCTTCTCTCTCTCCCCCCCTCCAACTTCAGATAACGTTGAATTCTGCAAAAATCAAACTACCTAACTTGCCTCAAGGATCTTCCTCTTCTGCAGGGTCCAGGCAAAAAATCTACGAGCTCTGTGTGTGTCCCAATGGGAGGTTATTTCTGTCTCAGGCAGGCACTAGCTCCCCCTGCCAGATAAATACGAGCGTCTGCCTTTGAGAGACAATTTGCGGTGGGGCATCGCAGGCAGCACAAAAGCCACTTCTGGTCTCACAGATTGCAGCTGCCAGCTATTTTTACTAGAACACAGAAAGCCTATCAAAGACTTTTTTTTCGT